ACTTAATATGTTATTTATTTCATATCAGTAAAACAAGTCTCCACTGTTAAGCAAATTAATGCTACTCATGATATTCGAAACTAAGTCACTCAATGTGGACACTAGACTAGTGATGCAATTAGAATCTAATCTATAGAGTTCACTCGTAAATAAGAACTCTGAAAGCTCAAAGTTCCTACTAATCAGTGCAAATAACTCACTTCTGTGGTAGATTAACATAGTCTAAATAACTTGTTTGTAAATTTCTTGACTCTTGCTCTGACTGATGTAGGTTGAATTTCATGGCGACTACCAGTTACCTAAACAATTCAGATAAGCGTTATTAATGACCATAAACTGGAATATAACTCAAGTTCAAGGCTTCTTCCCGATTGCTTCCAAACATTTTACTATGATATTATAATAACACTGTACATTATAAGCTCACATATGGAAATTTAATTCAATAATTGATTGTATTTGTTCATGTTCAATATTAGAAACTGATATGTTTAGTTGTATAGCGGTTATATTTGACCTTTTGCATATTCTTGAAAATAAATGAATCTTGTTTTCTCTTGTGTATGTAATGTTGCACTCATTATATGCGATACTCCATGATCAATTATTGTTCTTGATTCTGATCTCCCACTTGACCAAACACATTGCCATCGTTTACAGATCCCTTTTACAACATATCCATAAATTTTAAATAAGTATTCAGCTCTCATACTCTCATCTTGAAACACTTTTTAGTTATCTATATTCTATATTTATTAATTATTCTCATCCTCTAATATTTCAATAACGACACAACCTTAACACATAAACTAATATTTATGTGCCGTTTTTATCAGTGTTATCACATAGTTTCCTTTAAATAGTATTGGTAAAGCTTTGTAAATATTACTCCATGAATTGGATGACATGTCTTACTGATAAAAATGCTATAAAACAGTTCTAAAGAATCAAAGGAACTCAATGAGATTCTATGTTTATCCGTTAGTCGTGCAATGTCAAATATCAGAAACAGTTTTCTGAATATACTTAATTATTCTGAAAAGTTCTTCACTAAAATATTGTTAAGATCAATGACAATAAAAAAAACTTTAATTTAACCAAATTCGCTTTGTATTAAAATTACTTAGCAGTGTGTTGTACACTCAAAACTATGGTTTCGTCTGACAGTAAATTGGTATACTGTAATCTAGTTTAACTTAATATGTTAACCGAAATTTCAAGGGAATTAGTAATATCAAGGAACTATCGATTTTATCTTAACATCCATTTGTAAAAGGATTTCAAACCAAATGATAAACAATTTCATTGTTTTCTTATCAGGATAATCAATGTTGTACAAAAATAAGTGTGTATTTTATGATGAATAGGCCACACTGAAAAGCATTTAAATGAGATTTGAGATCCTATAAAAAGTATATTTAATTACTCCTTAAGTAAATAAATTAGATTTATACTACTTAATTTAAGAAAATCTTATTCAAATCAATTGAAATAATTGAAATTTACTACAGTAGTTTGTTCCAATCTAATTAAAAGTAATTACAGTGATATAAATCAAAGAGATTTTATGAAAATGTTGCGATATCACCAGATAAATAAATAAGCTATATGAATAAAATCTAATATTCCAATTCTGCTAGAGATTATTTTATGCTTGAACAGCTCAGTGACATTTGCTAACGTGAGTTTAAAGCTTACGAGTAATATACGTTTCCTTGTAATTCTGTATTCATATAGCTGACGATTGTCAACTAGCACGAAATATACCTTATATGCATTTAACTGAATGCCTTTGACTATATAATGTTCATGTCACTGAAATTTTTTAGTCATATATCTGGGGCGTTCTTTAATTTTATATAATTCTTTACATAATTCCTTTGTCTTTAGTTGAACAGTCACTTTTTTTCAGAAAAGAAAAGGGTAAGATTTTCATTTCACCAGTTGAAGATTGTAATTACCTTTTTACTTCACTTGTGGTTTTAATCGATTACACGGTTTTAGCCACGTAAATGATTTAAAGTATGATGTTGTGCTTTCTGGCTTTAATGAATCCCAAATTGTTTTTCTGAATATCTACTTTACTTAACTATTTATTTATTGTTTACGCTCAAGTATATACTTGTCATCTTTTCTAATGATCCAGTGTGCGAAATTTCACTATAGTTATTAAATGTAATGCTAACAATCAGAAATTTTTACTGAAGATTTTTGAAGGTTAAATTGATAGAGACATTCGTCAACCACCGGTCGTTAATGTGTTCTGTTAAAGAATCTCAAACTAGGATGAAACAATTATTTAGTTCCTTCCATGTTATCTCGGCTGATGTTAGTCCCTAAATGATACCATTCGCATTGGTTGTAATTATTACTCAGTTTACGTTATACATATATCCTATAGAATCTATTATCCATATGGTTTATTAGACAATGTTTAATTCAACAATACATGTGTAAAAAAAGTCAAAAAACTTTATTTGTTCTCTAAAACTCACTGTCCCCAGCGCCATTTAATATATAATCTCTCATGAATCAATAATAATACTTTTGTATAAGTGCAATATTAGTAAATATAACAATATATGATTTACACATACATATTTATGAATTAAATTCTTTCATTTTCATACACTCCATGCACAAGTAACAAAAGTTAATCTGAAATTATCAAAGTCTAATTCAACTAAAAATTCAATGAAATAATATATAAACTGAAATAAACTGTCATTCATCACTTTAATGACCAGAATAATAATATTACGGTTATGTAAAGTGTTTTCCTGTGATATCTTATCTAGCTATATTATTTATTTTACAGTACATAGAAATTGTTCATGGTCCACTGAACTGAAGTTAAGTAAATTTAACTGTGTATAGAAAGAGATATGAGAAAAAAGTATATTAAATTCACTTAGTATTGTTTGTTTGTATTTTCCTATTGATGTATAGGACTGCGACTGGTCAGTCTTTTACTGGCCATATGTGCATACTGTGCGCTTTGCTTCGATATAGCTTAAATTCACAAGCATTATAAGCAAAGATGGATAGTGGCTAGCAGTGGAATCCAGGACGCGTGTTTCGTCCTATTTGGTGCTCGTCAGTTGGATATACCTGCATCTCAGAATTGACGTTTACCCTTGAACTCGAACCCAGTACCTTTCGCGTCCTGAATTCCACTGCTAGTCACTATCCACCTTTGCTTAAAAAGTATAATAATATAGAATAGTTTAACCATAGAATATTGTGAAACAGTATCTGTTTATGATGTGACCGTTTTTTTTGTTTTCTTTTATATTTCACTGACAATAAAAGATACATGTCTCATAGAAGTTTGTTTAAATAATTGTAAATTAGAAATTTTTAAAAAATAAACAAATGAAAAATGGTAATTAGTACTATAGAAGATGAATTCATCTTAATAAAATTAAGATAATATGCAGTACAATGAAGGTTTGTGAAATTCCAGTACATAAATATAGGCATTAAGTAACTATACTCTATAGATTCAATACAAGATATTATGACTTGATATGATTTAACATACTTAAATTTAAAAAATCAAGTCAGTGATAAAAGTTTTATAATGGAAGATAAGATATTACTTTCAAACCTTTTTGTTGCACTTAGTTTGATTAGAAACGAAATCATTTAGATAATAACTGGTTCAGTTTTAATATAGATATTCAACCATAAAATTATTCTATTAGGATCTGCGATGCGGTAAATATTAATTGTCTGACACTGTTTATGTATATTGTTTTTATATATTCTGCTGTCTGTTAGCTATCACTTGAAAACTCCAAATTCAGATTCACTTATCTTATGGATATCCCAGAAACACCTTCCCATTAATATCATTACTAAGTGAAATTTATTACTAATGATTGTCGTAAAGTGGATGTGTATCTTTTCATATAATATAAGGGATTATTTAAGTATACCGTTATGTATTAAAACATCTTACAAACGCGAGGATAAAGTGTATATTGTTGCAATCATAAAAAAGTTTTTTTAAATATTTTGACATCATGAAATGGCTACGGCTGCACAACTACCGAAAAACAAGAAGTTTTAAACAGTTGTGTTTGTCTCAGTATGTGATCCCTTTGTAGTGCGCGCTCACGATCCCACCCGAAGTCAAGATTCAATAGTATCCACTACAAATCCTTATAATAATATATTTAAATCAACCGATATAATAAATCGAACATAAACTGATGAAACCAACAACCTATCTTCTATTTCTGATTATACATGTTTACCTTTTTATGAAACGATTTAAACATCATTCTCACTTAACAAATCTTTCAGTACAGCAAAGAAGTGAATTCCATTATCAAAAGCCTAAGCAAGATATGCTTCGGATACACCATTTTAATGTACAGTAACCCGAAGACCTTGTCCATGATTTGGTAAGTTATAATTTTCAGCTAACTGTTATACCTGTTATAGATTATGGAAAAATTATAAATTAGAATAAAACAACTGTACAGTGATTCTTCGTTTTAAACGAGTTTCCGTTTGATGACACTTTATTTTTAAAAAATTGTCAAATTAATTATAAGCAGAGGTTGATGGTGGCTACCAAGGGGATCCAGGACGCGTGTTTCATCCTATTGTCAAATCCAACTAATTTCCGCAGGCTATTCAATTATATATATATATGAAATGGCGTGAGTTCATTTCATTTTAAAACATGATAGGAAACTGATAACGTAATTCAGAACATGAATAACTAAAACATTTGGTACTCAGAACTGTCAATAAACAGTTTTTGAAGAATAAATGTAATTCACATTTGGTGGATAAATAAAGCAGTTTTTGGGCAACTGTGTAACATAAATCCTGGCATTAATTCAATAACGTTACTAAAAGAACCTTGCTAAATCTTATTGAGATTCGAGAAATCCATTGAGAATTTACTGTCAACTAACAAAGAAAAACCTTATCTCCCCATTTCTCCTTGAAAGCACAAATTTAATGAGAGAAAACAGTAAGATAATATAAAAAAACAATAATCTTCATTATATCATACACCTTTCAGAACAACATCTGTTTGAACAAATTCAACACAAGACAAGTACTTGTAACGTTGTTGTTTTTTAACCAAGCATAAATGTACACTTCTTTCGAAGGCCAGTTGTTATTCTTGTTCTTATTAAGCCTTATTTATCAGATTGAATAACTTGAAGTTGTTGTCTTTCTGAAGAACCTAATCAAATTTAATTAATCAAAAACGAAAATAAGCTTTTACTGAGGTAGTTCTGAAGTAAACAAATAAATGTTCATATATATATATATACAAATGTATTTTTCTAAATAGAGTAGAGAAAACAAAAAGATTAAGCTATTCACCTCATCGTTATTCACATTGTTAATGTCAAACTTATTTATTCTAACTAGTACAGAATTAATTCAAACAATTTTATCATACTCAAATTCACTTAGTATTGTTTGTTTTAAACTTCCCATTGATGTTTAGGACTGCGACTGGTCAGTCTCTTATTGGACATATGCGTATTGCCTCGATATCGCCTTAATTCACAAGCATTATAAACAAAGATGGATAGTGGCTAGCAGTGGAATCCAGGACGCGCGATGGCGTTTGAAGCTAAAGCTACTAGGTTCGAGTCCCATGGTGAACATCAACTCTGAGATGCAGGTACATCCAGCTGACGAGTCCCAAATAGGACGAAACATGCGTCCTGGATTCCACCGCTAGCCACTATCCATCTTTGCTTATAATTTTATCATACTTTACCAAATGACAAATACATTCGACAATTAAACAAAACTTTACAAAGCAATACACAAACTCGATTAAATCAATCCATAATCCGAAGAACATCGTGAACAACAACACTATGGTGGATTCCCTTAAGAAAAATATTGTTATAAATTAATTATCGGATATTCAATATTGAAATTTAAAATAATTGAAAAACTGATAACATTTCTTTAAATGTAAAAACAGTCACACTGTACATGTTTAACAAAAGAACATATTTTATTAGTATTGGAAAACTTATTAAGCATTGCTATTCAACTAGAGTGCGACTATTGTTTTGATGGGATTTTTTCACTTATAAATGTTGTCAAAATGTATATGACTTTTATGACAACTTTTTATGAGAAAAATAAGTTGTTAAGATGTATCAAACAAAATGTTGGAACCAGGTTGCGAAGACTAAAATAGCCTTTTTATAAAACATTAATATATCATAGTGGCTAGCAATGGAATCCAGGACGCACGTTTCATCCTATTTGGGACTCGTCAGCTGAATGTGTCTTCATCTCAGAATTAATGTTCACTCTGGGACTCGAACCCAGTACCGTTCACTTCAAAGGCCATCGCATTATCTACTTAGAGACTGATCAAATGTAGTCATGATCACCAATGGGAAGATTCAAACAAACAATACCAAGTGAATTGAAATAAACTATAGTTCTTACAATAGAGTTCATTAGTCAAGTTATATTAGCATATAAATTAATGAGTTTTTAGAGAGATTTGTAAATTTGTGGAATAGTCCGTTCGTTACAAAACAAAGTTAACTTCATTTCAATTGCGTAAAAGGTAAAACATCACTCCGTAAATATTCATACACTCATTACTCATACAGATGTATTTTTATAGACTCAAATATACAGCAACATTGTAGCTACCATCATTATTGTTACTTTAGTGAATGAATGATATTAAAAAATAACTTACTAGGATAAATCTATAAATATTTTCATTCCAAACAGTAGTTTGATTGTAAACAGGATTGGCCAGTTCTATGGAAAACAGAATTTTAAAAATCTTAAGTGGTTGCAAAAATTTTAAGCTTATCAGAGTAAGAGTTATTTGAAAATCAATTATACTCAATATACGTCAATCAAAGGTCATACAAAATAAAACTATGCTCATAATGATTGATGAAATAATCAAATGTAAGTTATTTCTGATGTTTATGGCTCTTTAGACAAAAACGAAATATTCATTAACTCATAATTGAGATGAAACAACTAATTGCATTCTGTCTCATTCAAATTATTTGGGTGGATTTTTTGTTCTAATATGTAGAACTTCAACTGTCAATCTTTCTTTATAAATAATAATTTATTTAGTCCATTAAAAAGTATGCATGAATCTACCAATAATACTCAAGTTATAATTTTATCTTACTATTTCTAAAGCTTCTGTCGTCTTAAACCACTTAGTTATATCTTGTAATAACAATCACCACACTAGTTTTCTGCTGTATAGAGTGATTTGGGGGGGGGGGGAAGGAAAGATATATTACCCCTGTCCATCATAATATATCAATCTACCTAGAAAAAATATTTACTAGCAACCTGGAAATCAGTTCAAATTTTTTTTACTAATTAAATAGTAAATCATGGATAACTTAATAAAAACAAAAAAGGAATTTCTAATAAATAAATGAGATGAAATATCGAATATTTAGAATATTTCCAACTATTACGTAACTATTCATTATTATGATTATTATCCTTGTCTACTCTTACTCCCCCCCCCATTTCCAGTCTAGTTGATCTTTTATTTTTATATATAAATGTTCTTAACAAGTATATTATGTGTGATCAGATTGTTCGAAATGTATTGCGCTAATATATCACATAGTACTGATAATCTTCATCTTCTCATTACATTATCGAAATTTATCAAAGGGACTAATTGCTTTAAATATAACAGATGAATTAACTTTAATATTTAATAGGAGTAATATATTTGTAAAATCTCAGCGAATGAATTTGAATTAATTCCAAGTAAATCCTTGAAAAATCTTGGACCAGATTACCAGGCGAAACGTTGAATTTACTTCAAATTCATTCGCTGAGATTTTACAAATATATAATTCCTATTTAATGTCTTATATCAACTGGGTGCCCAAATACTGTGAAACTATTCGCTCTAAATTAGACGAAAGTTCTTATATAACTTAAATATTGTTTAGATTATACGATTTATATTTTACACATTTTTCAATGAAAAGTAGTTTTAAGTAAGAGAAAATGAATTTAGATTGGTAGAATGAACGAACAAATATTTTAATAATAGAATTCATGAGTCTCTTTAAGCTAGACCACAATTAAAAACCTGGAAGCATTGGTAGTATAGCTTAGATCGACTCATAAATTCCACTATTAAACATTACAACAATCACTACAATCACCCATTCTGATGATAAATATTTATCACTTATTTATTATGTACAATTAAATGATTTGTAATGATATTTTACGCTTTGAACTAATAAACCATTCGTGATAATAATGGTTGTTCAGTAAGTCAAATTACATTTAACTGAACCCCAATGTTTTCATTTTAGACACTTCATTTTTGTATTTTAATGTTAAGAACTTATCACAAGATTGTTCACACTTTAAAACAATTTAATGATAGTGTAATGATAAAGAACACATGGAGGGGGGGACAACCTAATGTATTCGAACATAAAATCACAGAATTTCTTAGTAAAATCTAAGAACTATATAGTAAATACTTCATTTGCTAAATGTCGATCAACTGTCTTAGGCTTGATTGTTCCTTCGTCTCCATACCGATCATTCTCTGTTCTTTTTCTCTTCTCTTCGATCTTCTTAACTTTGTGCCGCCATGCATTTCACTTTCAACTGATGGTACATAATAATTATATCTGTCGATATCAATAGAACACGCTACAATAGTTCTGCGAAATTTATTCGATTGTAAAGGGAACTCTGGTTAAATGATGGATTTTAAAACAATACAACTATCTACTTCATGTAATAAAATAACTCGAAACATGTATTCAGGCAGGAGCAATATGACTTGAAGCAACAGTCAGCTATATTGTAGTTTGAAACAAAAACGAAGAGATTCCTATAGCTTACACCATTCCTAACTTTGCTCTAAATGTGCTTTGAATCAACGAAATAAAGGTTTTCTTATTTAAAAAAATTTGGTGCAAATGTTGTAGCATTTTCAAAATCATCCTCCTGAACTGTAAATTCTTTCTAAACCATCGACTATTTACTTCTAAACTGCTTTACGAAAGTAGCTTTTGTTTATACCAGATATTTGCAAGCCATATATACAAATATACAACTTCGTGTTGACATATTTTATCTGTATTTATGTTCTACATTATTTTGTTTCTATTTTTAAATCCATTATTTTACGCCAAACAAATTGCAGAAATTTCTTTCAAATTCGATCAAAGCTTTCCTTTTACGCTAAATAGTTCAGGATAACCTTGGAGCATTTATAAAAGTTTTCCAATAACTTGAAATAGGTAAAATGGAACTCGATATGATCAAATAGGTTTATGCTCTTTTGTGAAAAATGTTAGAAAGAAAAAAATTGTAGTTCCAGATAACATTTATCTAACCGTAAATAATAATTACTTAATTGTTCTTTAATAGCCACAATGATCTTCGTTTCTGACAAAGATTTCATTTTAATAAAATAACAGATGAATTATTCAAAATACATTATAGTTAATGCTGAACGCTTTTGAAGCTTTCTTTTAACTATACTTTGTCTAAGTAACGCCCTGGTCGCAATACCCTGTTGAGTTTCAAGTAAATATATAATTCTGATTAAATGTGTAAATGCTAAATTCATCGTTTATAAACTACATGATAGATGCATGTGTCGGATTTCATGTGAACTGATGATAATGAAGTAATTTACCATATGAGATATATATATGAATCAACTCGAAACTGTAATACACAAAATTATTTCAGTGTTTCGAACTCTTGAAAAGTCAAACATAGCCATTCAAAAATGTACTTCAATTCAACTACAAATAATATGCGAATACTTGACAGAATAAGACATCTTGCTACATAAAAACAATACACACATATAGTTATTAGCATTTTACTGAATCTCACCTTAGGACTATGTTTTAATATAATCCGTATGGTGTGATGATGACATAACTAACTCTTGAACAGACAATAATAAGACTATGCGTCAAATTAATTGTACTTCACGAAAATACTAAGTAAAATATAAGCATATTAGGAAACTAATGAGTGATATTTCAGAAACAATACCCTACTGTTTAATGACGTTCAGTTATACTTTACAATAAGTTCCGTTTTTACCATTTGTAATCTATCGAAAACCCTTTTGTGTTTTTTCAGAATTTTTATTTATTCCCAAATTATTTGAAACATGCATACAATATCTCTCATATATACTTCGGTTACATTTTAAAATAATCTAGGCTTTCCATTTCAAATAGTATAGTTTGGGACCAACAGAATCTAAAATGTTGCTTCCGTCTAATCAACAATTTCAGCTTTAACTACTTTTTTTAAATGGAATTATCCCTGTAAAATCACTAAATTAGTCAAATCAACTCTAGACTGAAACCAAACCTGGATACTGTCAGAGCTGAAACTAAGGGGATTGAGATCCTGACCTCAAACAATAAGTTATACCCTGACTTTTTCCAATGGGTTTAATTTATAAGATTAGCTATCCAGTCACAGTTTATCATACTAATCTTAATTGAACTGAATTACTGACAAGTAGTGATTATTTAATTAATGATTATGTTTTCTGAGTTCTATTAGTACCCTGAGTATTGTAATATAATAGTGATGATTTATCATTCATCACATACAACTTAATAAATAAGAGACTTTTGAAGTGACCTACATTGATGTCTCATATTATAACCTACATGACGTATCCAACAGATTCTTTTTCAACTTTTATCATCAATTTAGTAAAAAAATGAACCAATTTGAATACTACGTCAAAAATTCATAGTTTCTATTCACCTATCCTATACACTATAAGTTTTCTATTTAATAATTTTATGAAAAATCCCTTTTTTCAAAAAAAAAAATATTCTAATTAAACATGTTTGATTAATGACATTCTAGGAGATTGTTTAAAAGAAAGAATGTGAAATAAATTTAAAAAAAAACTTGTATTATTTATAATTAATTATACAACTTTTCATCTATCTTTTTAACTTCACTATCTCGTTTATGATTTTTTTTAAATTTTGCTTATCTCATTCTTACACTTCTTCATTCATTAATATTAATATTCATGTGTTAACTTAGTAGAACACTAACAGTTGATTAAATAATTTACTCGTTTCATTCATTGTCAATTTCTATTTTGGACTTTAGTAAAATTAAATGTAAGAAACAAAGAAAAGCAAATGATAAAAAAGAAAAGATTGAATAGGAAATATAAAACAGAAGAAGCGAATAACACATTATTTAGATTAGACTATGATTTTAATCGTTGGAAGTGGATAGGATATACATTAAGGAAATCACCAAACTGCATCACGAGGCAAGCACTAACTTGGAATCCGGAAGGAAAGCGGAAAAAAGAAAGGCCAAAGAACACATTACGCCGGGAAATAGAAGCAAATATGAAAAGGATGAATGGTAATTGGAAAGAACTGGAAAAGATTGCCCAGGACAGGGTTGAATGAAGAATGCTGGTGGGTGGTCTATGCTCCTCCACGAGGGCTAACAGGCGTAAGTAAGGAAGATTTACGTATAATTTACAAGAAATAAAACTTGTTTTGAACAAAAACAGAAATTAAATGATGAAATGTTTAAAGTTAAATGTTTGTTTGTGAAATGAATATGGAATTCTATTCAAATAAAGAAAATAATTCATTCTATTTGATCTATTGATAGATTTAAACAAAACATGAGTTAAAAGTATTTGCAGATTAAAATGAATTTCTTCTGTTTGAAGGTTTTTTATGAAAACAGTCTAAAATTACTAAGAGTGATCTATA